TCCTGATATGGAGTGGGGAAAGTGGACCTTTGTATCATGTGACATGATTTTTGTTAATAAGCCATTGGCACTGAGCCGGAGTTCTTTGTCATGCAGGTTAGAGGAACAGACTATAAGACACCAGATGGTACATGCATAAGGGATTATATAGACGTGACCGATCTGGTTGATGCTCATGTTAAAGCTCTTGAGAAGGCAAGGCCAGGGAAAGTTGGGATCTACAATGTTGGAACAGGAAGAGGTAATGCACTCTGTTCTACATAGTCGAATTTGGTTTGCTCGAAATGATCTCGAGGTCTCAGTCTCCCCTCTTGTTTCCGAAAACAGGTAGATCAGTGAAGGAATTTGTGGAGGCTTGTAAAGCTGCTACTGGGGTACCTATCAAAGTTGACTTTCTTCCGCGTAGGCCTGGTGATTATGCAGAAGTGTACAGTGATCCAACTAAGATTAGAAATGAACTGAACTGGACAGCCAAATACATTGATCTTCAAGAGAGTTTGCAGGTCGCATGGAGATGGCAGAAATCACACCGTAATGGTTATGTTTCATCCTTGGCGACATCCTGATAATGCTTCATCAACTTATCGTTGTAGAAGACTGACCTGAACCCCATGTCACAGTGTAACTTATCGTCGAGTTATTAGTATCCATAGAGTACAGTTTTCGAGGCCAAGAGGGGTTCGATGTTTAGTCTTTTAGCTAGATGGAATTATATAGCAATTAGGCAGCTGCCTATTTACCCATTGTTATGTGTATTTAGTGAAAGGGATATTTCAAATCAATGATAGTTTCCATTCAGGTGTAGCTTCCATCTGCCTCCTCCCTATGGATTTGTTTCTCTTTTCTCCCATCTTATGTAAAAATTAAACTAATGCTTAGAATTTACTCCCTGAAGACTCTTCAACTCACTGAGGACACGACCTTAGATAGAAGAGCTTGGAGGTCGAGGATTTGGGTAGAAGATTAGTAAGTAGTCGAGCGATTTCTCTTTTTTCTATGGAAGAGCATGATTCTAGTTTAGAATACCTTATCTGTTCCATCTTCTCCTTATCGTTATTATAATTATTATTCTATGATTATCTTATTCTTCAACTTTATTACTACTGATATTTCTTTTATTCTGGGTATCTTTACTAATTTTGCTGTTAATATTTTTCTTTTCTTTAGTATTTTCATCTTAACTTTTTTACTCTTGTATTTTTTAAAATATTTTTCTTGAGCCAAGGGTCTATCAGAAACCTCTCTATCTCACACGACGTAAGGGTAAGCTTTGCATGCATACTACCCTCCCTGGACTCCACTCACACTAGGAATGTCGCTTTTGTTGTTGATATACTCCTAGAAGACCTGTTCCCATGACTTTTTTTTTGGTCAAAAAAAGCATACATTTATAAATTAAGTAGTAGTACAAGGAGCATTCTAAGGTACATCAATACAAAAACATCGTTGGTTACCCATGCTATCTAGAGGCATAGTTTGTGGCAGCATATGTAAACAAAAAGAAGCATGTCCCAAAAGCTTAGGATCAGTTTTGGGACGTGTGTAGAGTGTGCCACATTGATCTTCCATGTATTGATCCCTAGCAAAAAGTGGTGTTCCAAAAGAGTGGTACATGGATGTTGCATGGGGATAGTTGTTCCGTGTTTGACTAATAAATCTACCACTTGATTCTGCTCCATGTAGACATGTGTCACACGAGGGCTACCCAGTTGATGTAGTAGGTACCTGCATTCATTGATTAAAGACGAGTAGTGGTAATTATTGAGGAGAAGTGCTGAAATTACCTCTGTTGAGTCGACATTAATTTCCAGCGGAGTGTATTTATATTGGAGGGCAAATTTAGTCCTTCCTGTAGTGCAGTGAGTTCCATGTATAAGATGCTTCCCATTGGACGGGAACCTAAATAACCAATTCCCTGAGTGGTCTCGTATAATTCCTCCAAAACCATATTTATTATTTTCCGTGTGACAAGCTCCATCCGAGTTAAGTTTAAATGAAGGGTTGGTGGGGGGATGCCATTTGACATGCATGTGTGATTGAGCCTTAGTTGTTTGTTTGGGGGTTATGCCTAAATAGAAGAATTCTGCAGCTTGACTTAATATGTGAGCGGGGTTTGGTGGAATATATTTACCATAAAAAATAGTTCGATTCCTATTTTTTCATAAATTCCAAAGAGTAAAGGGAATTAGTATGTTCGATGGGAGTTGTTGTGTAGGATTAGGGTTTTGCTTTAGGAGTTGTGACAGTGGATGTGGGATATTGTCGTGTGATCTATCTAGGTTAATATTGGATAGGTTAATGGACAGGCTGTCCCAAATATTTTTTGTGTGTATGCATAGGAAAAATAAATGGTTGATAGTTTCTTCTTGTGTATGACATATTGGGCATAAGGCATTTGGAGCAACTTGGATGTTATGTAGATAACTAAGGGTAGGCAGACGGTGATGGGTCATAAGCCATAGGAAGTGTTTGATTTTTGTCGGTATATTTAGTTTCCATATCCACTGGAAGGAAGGTGAATTTACATTTGCATCTAATTGTTTGTAAAGTGATTTAACTGTAAATGACTCTCTACTAGTAAGTCCCCAATAAATTTGGTCACATGTAGTTTTATTTGTGATGGGAGGCATATAGTAACTCTTAAGTAGTATGAGTATATTAGGTGGAATTTCGAAAGAAATTGAACTAATATTAATAGTGTTATTATTTAAGTAAGTGGCAAGTGATGCCATTTGATGTTGTTGTGGTAGAGGCCCTATAATTGAATTTCTAAGGGTGAGATTGGTTCCTAGCCATGGGTCATTCCAGAAACTAATGCGGTTGCCGTTTGCTGGATGCCACCGTATGCCCAGTTGACAAGAGGATCAGCCAAGGATTATTGCTTTCCAATTCGAGGATATAGTTCTGGAGTTAGTGTGTGTGTTGTATTTTGATAGGATTACTTTGGCCCAGTAGGAGGATGGAGATTGGAAAAGTCGCCATGCCAGGGATCCTAGTAAGGCATTGTTTTTATGGTGCAGGTTTTGTATACCTAGTTCTCCTTGTGCCTTAGGTAGTTGGACAGTTGCCCATTTGATAAGGTGCAATTTGCATTTTTGTGGTGTAGTGCCCCACAGGAAATTCCTTTGGTAACGTTCGAGTTTCGTAATAATATTAGTGGGTATTTTAATGAGTTGCATGACATGATTAGGCAGGCAATTTAGTGCTGCGTTGATTAACGCAGTGCGTCCTACCATTGTGAGAAAGTTTGCTTTCCAGCCTGAAAGTTTATTTTTAAAATTGTCCAGTAAATATTGGAAATGAGTTGGTGTTTGTTTTGTGTTAAAAATATGGTAACCAAGGTACCCAAAATTTTGACCTTCCCTCATATTAAATAAATGTGTAACACTGTCTCGAGCTTCGTTTGTAATGTTTTTAGTGAAGAAATTTTTTGATTTATTAAAATTAATAGTCAAGTCGGACAGAGTGGTTAGGAGATTAAGGATATCTATTATGGAGTTCATGCTCTTAGTAGTTAATTTCGAAGTGATGGTTATGTCATCAGCAAATAGTAAGTGTGATAAGGGAGGCCCTAGTTTGAAATTTTTATAGGATGCCATCTAAGGCAATCTACCTCTATATGTATTTTCCTAGTTAACATTTCCATACAAAATATAAAGATATATGGAGATAAAGGGTCACCTTGGCGTATGCCTTTTGTAGGTGAGAAAAACTGAGTTGGTTGTCCATTGATTAAGATGGAGATTATAGTGGTAGTGATGCATGACATAATTAGTTTTATTAAGGTTGGTGGGAATTTAAAATAATGAAGGGTGTCATGAATAAAGCCCCAGTCTAATTTATCAAAGGTTTTTTCCAAGTCTAATTTGAGCAAGAAAGCAGACTGCTTACCTTTTTTATTTTTAAAATAATGCATAATTTCTTGCACTATAATTGCGTTATTAGAAGCTCTTCGATTAGGAAGGAATGTTGATTGTTCAGGGATGATTATGGTCATTAGTAAAGGTTTTATTCGTTTGACTATAATTTTAGTGATTAATTTATAGAGAGTGTTGCAAAGACTGATTGGTCTATATTGAGTTATTTGAGATGGTTGTTTAGTTTTAGGAATTAGACAAAGGTAGGTTTTGTTGAGTTCTTGTGGGATTTGTTTGGTATTAAAAATATCTTTGCAAAAGCCGATAACTTGTGATTTAACTTGGGCCCAGTATTTTTGATAGAAGTACGGGTGTAATCCATCCGGTCCTGGAACTTTAGGAGGTTCGAATGACTGTAGCGCATCAGTAATATTGACTTCTGTAAGTTGTTGGTCGATTGTTAAGCAGTAATTAGAATTTTGGGAATTCATATCTTGTCGTGGTAGGGGGTGGTGTGTGTGTAGTAGTAGTAAAAAGATTATGGTAGTAATTTTGAATAGATTCATTGATAGCTGGTTGGTCTAATAACCAATTCCCAACGGAGTCTTTTAGAGCAGTTATACGGTTTCGTCTACGTCTTTGGAGAGTTGTTAGATGAAAGAACTTAGTGTTGGCATCTCCATTTTGAAGCCAATTAATCCTTGACTTTAATTTCCAAAATTCTTCTTCCAGTTTGAGTATGCCATTGAATTGATCAATGAGATCTTTTTCAAGATTTTGAAGGAAGTGACTAGTCGGATACCTAGGTGATTTTTGAATTCCTGTAAGCCTTGCAAGCAAGGTATTCTTTTTCTTAAAAATATTCCCAAATATATTTTTATTCCATTCAGTAATATTCTCTTGAAAATCTTTAATAGCTTGTAATGTAGGTTTGTTAGGGGTCCAGTTTTGTGTGATTATGGAGATAAATTTCGGATGAGTAGTCCAAATTGTTTCAAACCTAAAAATTTTATCCTGGGGACTATTATTCTTTTTTAAGGTTAACAGTAATGGACTATGGTCCGAATGGGTTCTAGGTAAATGAAATACTGAAGCCTCTGGGTATAATTTTAGCCATTCATAGTTAGCTAAACATCTATCTAATCATTCAAGTATTCTATTAGCTAATCGTTGATTATTCGACCAAGTGTACTTACTACCCGTATAACCAAGGTCCACAAGATTACAATAGTTAATACATTTTATAAAATGGTCAGTACGATTATTATTAATACTAAGGCCTCCATATTTTTCATTAGAGGCAGTAATTTCATTAAAATCCCCTCCGATTAACCAAGGCAATTTAATTTGATCATATATAGAACGAAGATTATCCCACAGTATAGAACGTGCATGGAGGTCATTTTTCGCATAAACAATAGATAGTAACCAAGTGCTAGTATTAGGATGTACCTGGACAATGGAGTGAATCTCTTGATTGGTAACTGCCACTTGTTCAAGTTTAATGTCCTTCTCCTTCCACAGTAGTGCAATTCCTCCAGAGATTCCTTGGGCAGGTGACTGCGCCAAGTTGGAGAAGCCAAACTCATCTTTAAGGTATGCATGATCTTGCATGTGTGTTTCTAGCAATGCAACTATAGATGACTTGTGATAGTTGAGCATTGATCTAAAGTTTCTTCTAAATTCCGGTGACTAAGCCCCACGACAATTCCATATGACAAACTGCATGGATTGATTAATGGTTGGGTTGGGTGGAGTCTCCCTCTCCATCGTTGGATGTGTTCCTTAGTGCTGGATCAGGACTATAGCGAACTTCCCCACTTCTGGGTTCCTTGGTGGGCGTATGTTGATTGAAACACTTTGGAGCTCTGGGGGACATGTTATGATGACCTTTCTTTCGTACTGTTCTTTGAGGATGTAGGTCTTGTTCCCATTGAGGTAGCTCAGAATAGGTAGAGTCTCTCTTATTTCTGCCATAGTTGCTGCCACTTCCAAGCTTGCTATTTCGTCGAGTTCGTTTTGCAATGGACTGGAAGGTGGTAGTGGACTGGGGGGAGGAGTTAGGGGTTGGTATGGAGAGGCTTGTGCATGGAGGGGTATTATGGGGGTGATTGATGTGCGGGGTTGGATCCAAGGTACAAATGTTTGTGGAGGTTGTTGTGGTGGATAAAAGGGTAGGTCTATATTGGTCGTTATGGGTGTTGGATGTGAGAACATGGGTAGTGGGAATGGTGTCTGTGGAGTTAGATGTTGTTGATAAAGAGCTGAAGGATGATGCATGGCCCAGTTGAACTGGTTGTAGAGGGTTACTCCCATCCGCATCCCTTCTTTGACAATCTGAGCTATGTCTGCTGGATTTTGTATCATTATAATGACATCTTGATTGTCTATCTCCATCGTAAAGGTCAGTGCATGTTCCTGCATGCTCATTTCCAACCAAGACTGTGGGTATGCTTGAGTTGGTGGGTATTACGTGATGTAAATGGGAGTTGGTTGTGGAGGGAGATCCTGTGGTGATTGCATGGTGATGGTGTTGAGGAAGATAGGGTGTTGGAGCATAGTTGTATTGGTGAAGGAGCGTGTTCCTGTGTTGGAAGTTGTGGGGTGAGTGGTTCATTAGAATGTGTTGTATTTTGTGATGGAGGGTTATGAGTATATGTGTTGGGTTTGGAGGGTGATAATTGTGGTTTAGTGGTGTTTGATTTTTTAGTGGTTGTAGTGGCCGGTTGATTTGATAAGGGAGGTTTGTAGGTGATTTCATGTGTAGTATTGGAGCCGGTTACTTGTATAGGGTGTTGGGCTTTGTCAGTTGAATGTTTAGCTAATTGGGTAGGGAATGAGGGTATTGGGCTTTTGTGAGATGCTGGAGTTTGGCAGGTTGCCGTAACATAGGCGAGCACTTGATTGCCTATAGTCTGAGGGGGGGTCCATGCATGTATCTTGAGTGGCAGTGTGTGCCACGTGTCTTTCTTCTGTGCTTTGTTGAAAGATGGTGGATGAGTCAGCATTGTGGGCTACTGAATGTAGAGGTTGGCCTATAGTGGGTTGTGGAGGTGTGGCCGTGTGTGTAGTGTTTTAGGCCTCTTGTTGTGGCCCAGAATGAGTATCCGGTTGATTCAAGTTAGAAATATCATTAAGCATAATTAGATTATCTTTATTAAAAAGCTTAGGATAATTGTTTGTAAAGGTTGTAGTAATTAGGTTTTTTAGGCCTAAGTTTTTCCCATTAGTGTTATTAAGTGTATTAGGATTAGAAGACTTACCTGTGGGTCCGGCACCGCCAATGGCTGTTTCTTGTGATTGGCTAGTTTGGTAAGTTGATGATTTTCCTTTCGAACGATTCTTGGAGGGAAAGTTTACTGTTTTCCATTCAGAAACATCTGTTTGCGTTTGTGGAAGTAGGATATGTGATGTGGATTGGAGAGCTATTGGTGATGAGGTATTAAGAGGTGATGTTTGTGAGGAGGAAGGTTGATGGGGTAGTGGTGTATGTATGGTGGTGGGAGTCGTAGGTGTGTGTGAAAAGGTGGATAAACAGAGGGACTTTGTGTGTCCAAGTTTGCCACAAGTAGTGCATAACATATTAACACCTTCGTATATAAGGTGTTGCTTGGGTGATCCAATGTAGACATGGGTTTTGAGAGGCATTTCTAAGGGTGCTTCTATGCAAATTCTTGCATAACGACCACGTGTGGTTGCTGAGGTGCAGGTATCCACTTTGAGTAGTGTTCCAATTTTTTCTCCTACTCACTGCAATATTTCCAGGTCGTAAAACTCAGTAGGGAGTTCAGGGAGTCTTAACCAAATAGCTGTATAGGTTAATTGAGTGTTAGAGACTATGAATTTGGGTTCCCATTTACGAACAGAAACAAAGTGATTGAGTATAAACCATGGGCCATTATGTAAGGCTGTGAACATATTTTCTTCTTTTTGGAATTTCACAAGGAAGAAATCACAGCCCAAGTCAATAAGAGGTAAATCCTCCGTTGGTTTCCATAGTGATGTGAGTTTTGATTTAAGTGTTTGGTGGCCTACTTTCCGGCCAAATACTTTGACAATAACTGAATATTTCCAAGGCGTGTATTATCTGGATTTATCTGCAAAGGTGATTGGGATAAAGGTGTCGTATTGTAAGTCTTGTATGGTGGATTCGTCTGATAAGTCTAGGTTTGAATGTGTTTGATGGCATGTGGTTGAGTGGTGGCTGAATTGATTGCTACTGAGCAGTGTCTGGGAAAAGGTGAGTGAGCATTTTGGAGTTGTGGAGTTTGGGTCTATGGTTGTATTGATTATCGTTGGTATATCGAAATGCATGGAGCTTATGTCGGGTGGTTCCGGCGGTGAAGTGGTGGTGGTGGTGGTATTCATTGAGAGAGTTTTTTTATTTATTTATTTTTTTACAAATTATGAAGACATAATTCAATGTTGCACACTACTGAATTTTTCATTTTTCCTTTTCCTGTTCCCATGACTTTGCTTTGGAGAAACTGCAACTTTCTTGTACATTCTGTTATTTTCATTCCTTGACATTACGATTGATTGGTTAGTTACTTAGGGTGTGTTTGGTATGAAGGAAATATTTTTCGAAAAAAATATTTTCCAAGTTTTCTATATTTGATTGGCTTTTGGAAAATATTTTTTTCATGAACTAATTGGAAGAAAATATTTTTCCTATCAAGAGAAGGGAAAACTTTTTTCAAAACTCTTTGCCAACCTTACCCGCATTCCCCATCCCCAGCAACCCCTACCAACCCAACCTCACACCCCCACCCCCACTCTAAATAGAAATATTATTAATAATACTTTATTTTCATGTTATAGATAGAGTATTTTTTCATTTCAATAAATAAGTATTTTCTTTTCACGATATAATTTTTTTTTTTTTTCATTTTAACAAAAAAGTACTTCTTCATCTAGAAAAAATATTTTCTTTCATTTCGACAAAATGATGTAGTAAAAAGTAATTTCTTTTATTGCAACAAAAGAGTATTTTCTTTTCATGATGTAAAAAAAAGTAATTTCTTTCATTTCAACAAAACGAGTATTTTCTTTCATTTCAACAAAATGAATGTTTTCTTTCATTTCAACAAAATGAGTATTTTATTTTCATGTTGTAGAAATAGTACTTTCTTTTCCAACCAAAAAACAGAGTACTTTTTGTTGTTGTTATGGAACACAAATTTCAACGTTGTTTTTGCATAAAAAAGTAAAGTAGCATATTAGTTCTTTTGGGTTTGTATGAATTTTTATATAATAATTAAATTCTTGAAGAAAATAGAGTCATGAAAANAGCATAAAAAATTATTTTCCTAAAAAATATTTTCTACTCTCTAACCAAACACTAAAAAATATTTCGGAAAAACGTTTTCACTAATCAACCAAACAAGGAAAAATAAGTGATAAAACCACTCAATTTCTATGAAAATATTTTCTAGAAAAATATTTTCCATAGAAAACATTTTCCTTCATACCAAACACACCCTTAATGTATGTAATTTCATTGGATTCTGAGAAGATCTATTCTACAAAACAATAGTTAACTCCCCAGCCAGGCTGTAAATTGTCGCGACCCGAGATTTCTACCTTCGAGACCGTGATGACGCCTGACATTTTACTTGCTAGGCAAGCCAACGATAGAGAAATTCTTAAGTCAATTTTTAAACAATTCAAATAATTAAAACTAATTAAACTGAAAATAAAACTAAAATGAACTACGAAGTGGCATAATAACCATCATATCTAAGTACAACTCAGATCTGGAATCACAAGTACACGAGCTTCTAGAGGTTCTACAAATAGAGATTGAAATAAATAAAATTGTTTCGAATGAAATGAACAGTAAATGAGGGAAGAGGAAGGGGACTTCAAGGTCTGCGGACGCCGGTAGATCTACCTCGAGTCTCTAAATATGCTAATCCGAGATGATGCACCTCACGTATAGCTGAGACCAGTACCAAAATTGCACAAGAAGTGCAGAGTGTAGTATGAGTACAACTGACTCAACGTACTCCGTAAGTATCGAGACTAAACTCGACGAGCTAGTGGCGAGGCTATGACAAGATACTCACATAATTAAATCCGAACAAACGAAGATATACGTGCAACATAACTACAAAAATAGGTATTAAATACGTACGATTGGGAGGGGACATGCGAATAGGAACAAGATACGATAGATGTAACAGGAATGACAACATAAGATAATCAAATAAATCATTAACCAATGAAAACGGATAAATATAATGTATAAAGACGACACAACATCACCCATCGTGCTTTTACTCTCAACCTCATCATGAAACAAACATAATATCACGATATCACCCTTTGTGCTTTTACTCTCAACCTCTCCATGAAACGATAAATACGGCACGACATCTTCCTTCATGCTTTCACTCTCTTCCTCACTTTGTATTAATCAATAAATGCAGCAATAAACGGCACGACATCAACCTTCGTGTTTTAACACTCTCCCTTACCATGTAGTAATGAATATGAAAATTTGGGAGATAAAATAAGCAAGAATAAATCTTACATCAATAATGGTTCCAAGATGCCAAACCTCAACTTTCAAAATACTCAACCATCACAAATAGTTCATAAATGCGGAAAGAACGATCAAGTAAGTAATAAACTAATGTAAGCATGGATATCATATTTAA